ACCAAAGAGAGGGTTGCTCTTCCAAGAAAAACTTTTCCATGTAAAAGAATTCTTAATCTCCCCTTTGACTGTCATTGTTGAAATGATGGCTTCGCAGGCTTGAAATTTAAGACCCTATCGGCATCTTTTCTGTTAGCTGTGATTTATGAATGGTTTTGCTGTTGATTATCCTCCAAGATTACAGCACAGCAGCCCTGACAGACAAGCAGAGGAAATTTCACAGGATAACAGGCAGCTCCTTCTCCAGGGCAGTGAGGCAGGGAGGTGTGTTTGGAATCCAGTATGTAACAATACCAGCAAATGCCAACTGGACTTCACAGGTAATCGAATACTCATCATGTAACGCCCTACTCAAAGGCAAGCAGGGTCAGCAGCAGTTTTGATGATGATTTTTCGGTGCTTCAGATCCTTTGCTCATTCTGTAATCCAACATTTAATCAGAGGGTTTTGCCTTAATTGAGGCACAAAGTGTACAAACTGCAGTCTTTTCATACAACCCCGTGCATGTTCTTCAAAGACCATCCTTCTTTCCTGCAGTTGCAGAGTCTGCTGTCACGTCTGGGAGATGCACCGTCTTTATTCAGGCTATTCAAAGGAACTTTGCTTCCTTTGATTTATTGCCAAGAACAGGCACTCCTGACCCCAGAAAAGGAGATTTTTGTGCTTTTCATTCCCATTTCCTGCTAGACAGTTTGTTCCAAGTCACTGCTAGGAGGGCTGTTTGTCTGGTGAGGGTAGCAGGGCCAGAGCAGGTGCAACCATGACTTGAGGGGAGCAGACAGCCAAGAGTTGGAGTCCAGGTTGAAAATATTTCTGATGTGGGGGCTGCCTAAAAATAAATGAGTAGACCTCAGGAGGTGATTTTATCTCTTGATAAATGGCCTGTGCTTTTCAGGCAGAAAGGTTCCTTTGATTTGAACTCTGCCATACTGCCCTGCAAAAGGAATCATTATTGTGGTTTCCAGGTCTGGCACTGTGGATGTGCTCCCTGCTCTTCGTATCACATCTGGACCCGTGCAGTGAGCAGCAGAATGGCACCCCTGTGCTTTGGATCACTTTGTGCTGAGGTGAACAGCTCCGTGGTGAGCAGGCGAGGGTGGTCTGGGCCTGACGTACCCGTGTCCTGCTCTTTGGTCACATTCCCTTCAGTGATGCTGCTGTTCTGGTGCCTTTCGACACGATTGTCGGGAACACATGGCAGAGAGGGGAGGCTGCACTTCTTTGGAGGGAACCAGAGAGCACAGTAACATCCAGCCATGGCCCGAGCTGTTCTTACTGGGACTAGTTACGCTGTGGGTGTTCTGAAGGATCAGGTTCGACACTGAACCAGAATGGACATTCCTAGCATTCTTCCCATTTTGCCACCCAGCCTGCTTCAGAAAAAGTCCTGATGTAGGTGTTTGTATCCTGTCTCTTTCTTCCCTCACTGTATTTGTCTTTCAAGCCTGGCAGCAGTGGAAGGAAACTTAGCACGTGATGCTGACACTCTGCCACGTCTGTGGGACGGCAGATTCCTAAAGTACTCAAATCTAGCTAAGAGAATAGCTGGGAAAACAGGAGGCAGAGGACTCATAAAAGCATGGAGAGGCTTGAGTCCCAATGGATTCAAGGAGTGATAGCAGCTTTTATCCAGAAGCAGGGCTGCTCACAGCAGGAAGGCTGGCTGTGTTCCTGCCCCCACTGCCCACACACTCCCTCTCTCAGGACCTCCCACTTTTTTCAGGACTGGACCTGGGGATTGCATTTTATAACAAATAGATCAATTAGAAGAAAAACAAAAAGTTGGAGAAGCTCTGAGAAATGTGTGCTTCAAAAAGCCCTCTCTAACTGGTGTCAGAACTGCACCTCTGCCTGAGAGTTAATCTTAACAGATACACTCCTGCAGGAATTTTCCCTAGTTTTCTCCTACTTGACTCCCCACTCCTTATTTACAGTTGTTTTACACTCAAATTCCCAGCTAGGTGGGGTTATTCCTTACAGAGTTAGTGCTGGTAGTGGAGGCCACTGTCCCCCAGCCTGTGCCTTCACACACTGCTGCCCTTGTACCACTGAGCTTGCACCTGTTTGTCTACACTCAGCTGCTTCAGAAAACTCCCCTCCAGACTTTTCCTTCCTCTTGTCCCACCATACACACAAGGGCCCAGTTTCCCTGTTCCCAAGCCAAGACACAGGAATGTACCAGTCCCTAGTGATTCCTTCCAGCAAACTAAGAATTGCTGAACTAAAGAGGGTTTCAGTAAAGCAACATGGCCTCAACTGAAAAAACCCTGCATTTGTTGGTTTTTTCCTTCAGTAGGGCACTGTGCAATATTGACATCCTGTTTCACTAAGCCTAATTCTACACTACACCACACATACACCTGTGTCTGCACACTGTACCCTACACTGAGTTTCCATTCAGGCTGATTTTCACTGGCCAAGAGCTGGATACTGGGGCTCCAGGAGGACTGACCAAAGAACGGGTCATTTCCATCACAGCCATCAGGACAGGAGCATTTCTTACCACCTGCATGCCTTGTGCTATACACAACAGAGCTCCAACTTGGGTGAGCAACCCACTACTAAACATCATCATCATAATAATAACAATAATAATAGTAACAACAACAATAATAACACCATATGTGCACACACATGGGCTGCAGAACAACAACAATAACAATACCGTGATAATATGTGCACACACATGCCCTGCAGAGCCCAGCAGCTGTTTTGCCAGTTATAAGTGAAGTCAATATCCCTGCCAGTGCTTGGGGATGCTCAGCAGTGCTTAGTGTGTCAGGTGTCTAGAGCTCACAACCCCTAAACTATGACCAACCACTTCTGAGCTGAACACATGTTGTACAAAAGTCTACATTTAAAAATATACATTATTTACCTCCAGGAAAGACTGGATTGCAGTTTCTCAAAACAAGAATCAGAAAAAACACAGTCTCCCTTCAACAGCTCCCCGAGCTAAAATACACCTTTCTAGGATGAAAGGACAGCGCACTCACCACTGCCCAGTGTCTCTTTTTCCTGCTCCTTTTTTCTCTGTGAAGGAAAGCAGCTCTGAAGACACTCCTTCCCCTTGCACATATGCTCTTGCCAGTTCAGGAGAGGGGCAGGGGAACAGGGCTGCAGGGGAACTGCTGGGCTGAATGCCTGAGTTCAGAGTGTTAACTGGCCAGAGAATCCTATTACGTGATAGGTAGCAAGCCAGGGACTAATTTATGGAAATTTTGACCTTTGGTCTCCTTTGACATTTTCAGATCAGCCGTAGCCTGTGTGAGACATTAGAGCCCTTACAGTAAGGGGCTCTAAATCAGCCTGTGCAGCTGCTGGAGCCGGCGAGCGGGTCAGAGGTAAAAATTCACTGAGGTCTGTGTGTGGGCTGCTCGGTGCCTGTTTGACATTTACAAATCAGTGACATTCCTCTGCACAGCTCAGTGCATACAAATCACTTCAGTCACTCCGAGGAGGGCCCCTCATTTCAGTCAAAGGTGGATTTGGGCATCCTTGGCCTTTCCTTTTGACTTGAGCAAGGCTATGTCTAAACATATCCAGCTTTACCACCCTACAGTATGACCTGCTCCCTCAGGAGGATGGAGTGTGGGCACTTTCACATTCAACCCAACCTCCCAGGACTTTGTGCCATTTTCACGGCTCGGGTGTGAAGCCTTCACCACTAGGTGCACTACCAGACCCCTCAAATTTTCCCCAGTTGCCACAACAAACGTTGTGTTTGTCGGTTTTGTAGCACAAACAGACACAGTCTCATTCCACTGGGTGCTGGGCCAACAACTCAGACCAAGAGGAGGTGGCCAGTTGGATTGCAACAGTTTCCCATGGAAACCTATTTGCCATGAATAAAGCTCCACCAGGCTGAGCTGTATGAGTGGGCTTGCCCCAGATTTCTCACAGTCTAGACTCTATGTAGAGAGAAAACATGATGAGAAAAACACAACCAAGGCTGTGGACAAGGTAACATTAGCATCAGCCAGTTATTGTGCAATAAATGACCATATTGGCTTCAGCCAGCCTGACCTGTTTAACCGCTGCTGCTTCCCCGAACCCTGAGGGTTGATATGGACTCCACATTCCCCTCAGTGCTGGCAGTGCCTCTGGCACATGATGCTCCTCCTGGCTAGAGGCTGTGCTGGGATTTGGGATGCCCTCCCATGGCGTTTATGGTTGTCGTGAACACACGATGGCTGGGATGGGGAGGCCATGTCCTTGGTAGCAGACTAAGCAGCTGTGGAGCCGAAGGAAGAGGTGTGAGGGTGCAGGAGGAGGCACGAAGGCCACCATGAGGGTATGGTGGCACAGGGACCAAGATTGCCACGGTGACCCCGCTGCCTTGGTGAAGCCACCCTTCGCCACCTCAAAGCAAAGAGAGACGATGGTTCTTGAGAGTCTCTTCCCTGGTGCCCACATGCCACTGAAGGGAAAAGCTACTTTGGGGATGTGGGGGTGAAAGAAGGACGAAAATCAGAACTGAGGGGAAAATCAGACATAAGTGAGCGAAAACTGACAGCAGTGAGGGAATGAGCGGGAGGGAAGCCGCAGCCCAGGATAGGTTGGGATAGGTAGGTGGGTGAGTGAGGAAGTCCTTCTCCCGACGCCGGGAGGGACGGGACGGGCGGCGGCGCCGAACGCGCTCCGCGCCTGGGAAAGCGCCCGAGACCGTGTGGCCGGGGCAGAGCTGGGGGGCCGGGGGAAGGGGAGGGCGCTCCCCGGCTCCCTCCCACCCTCTCCGGATAAATGGGCCGCCGGGAGGCGGCGGGCGGGCGGTGCAGCGTGTGGAGGAGCGCGGCGTGTCCCCATCCCGTCCGGTCCCCGTCCCGTCCCCCGTCCCGCCCAGCGCTCCCTGCCGGCGGGGCCGCCCCGCGCACACGGCCGCGTCCCCGCGGGGCTGGGCGGGGGGATCGGACTTCGCCTTCCCTTCCCGGGAACGCCTGACGGGCGGGCAGGGCCGGGGCCGGTGGAGGGGAGGCGGCCGGAGCACCCCGGTCCGGCCGATGCTGGCGCTGCCCCGCGCAGCACCGGGTTCCAGCGGGCTGGTGGCGGCGGTGGGGACTCAGGGGGGGCCCCCCGGCGTCCCTTCCCCTTCCCTCCCTCCGCGGCGGGCGGCCCTGGAGGATTTTCTCCCGCCGCGGCCCCCTCGCTGCCCCCCAGACATGGTAGGTCACCTCCAGCTGCAAGGGATGGACGAGAGCCTGAAGGAGAAGAGCCGGGAAGGCTTGCTGGACAGCCCGGACTCGGGGCTGCCCCCCAGCCCCAGCCCCCCCTTCTACTCGCTGTCGCCCGGTGAGGGCCGGGCAGGGGGCAGCGGCGGTGCGGACCCCCCGGCCCCGGGGCACCGGCGAGAGGCCAAGGACGGCAGAGTGGTAAGAGCCAGACCGGGGCGCCGGGCTCTGTCCTCTCCGGGCCCCGGGGGGGAAAGGCTGGCAGAGCCCCGGCGCGGGGGACAGGCAGGAGGGCTCCTGTGACCGCTGCAGTCCGGTGTTGGCACCGCCGCTGCTGTGCCAGGCGAGGCTTGGCCCAATGCCAGGCGGGGTTTTCAGAGACGCTCACAAGAGTGTTGGCAGTTTGGCTGGGCAAACTCCTAATAACGGTGTGGGAGCGAAACCCAGGTCTGAAGCAGGCTCCTCTGCCTTACCTTCGGAACAGACAAGTGTAATTGCTCCTCAGTGACACTGTGCTGCTGCCTGTTAGGTGCAGGTTGGAGCTGCATCCATCCGGACCGAGGCAGGGGCGTCTGGCTCCCAGCCATCCTGGCATCCCTCATCTGTTTTGTGAGGAGCGCGTAGCCTCCTTTGCCGGAGCCCTGGCTGAAAGAAAGACAGAACAGCCTGTTAGCTGGGGCAGGGTATGGATGAGTATCCAGGGAGTTGGGACAGGGGCTGGGGCAGGCCGTGTCTGCCGCCCTTTGCTGGAGCAGGGCTTTTTGGAGTGAAGGGTTCGCGTTCTGACGGCCGAGCGGAGCGGGAGTAGTGGTTTGTAAGCTCAGCTGGCAGAGCACAGCAAATTTCAGTCAGCCTGATGCAGTGCCAGCGAAGTGGTTCACTGTGAGCTACGATTTGGGTAGATTTATTATGACTATTATTCTCTTTTATTTGTTTATTTCTATCCCTGGGCTATAAAAACTGTTTTTAAAACACAAAGTTCAGAGTATAAGCAATGGTGGTGGTGGTTTTTAAAGGATGATGAAAGTTCTTCCCTAGGGCTCTTTAAAATTTTTTTTAAACATATATAAAAGATGTGTATTCAACACAGTTAATTGGTTTCTATATTGAATAGAAACTGTGGCACAAATCTTTCTGTGAGAAAAATTCATCTACCTATAGATCAGTGACAATTCAAAGACTTCTTCCCCATAGAAACATTTTGCAATGACTTCTCACACGCTCGTGCACTTTCTCAAATTCTAAGGCTATTTTAGCATATCATTGAAAACTACCTTCTACTCCTGAACATGCCAAAGCCTTCCCCATGAACAGTGACTCCTCCTCAACGGACTGCAGTGGGGAGGGTGTGAGGTGTCATTGCAAAAATCAAATCTCAAAACCTACTAACGCCACGGTTCCAAATATGGAGCCTTACCTGCAGATGCCTGGGCGTGTGTGGCATCTTGATGGGACTGTTTATGTACAAAGAGTTACCCACACACCTCTGATTTGGCAGGATCAGGCTGTTGCTAGGTGTCTGTAAAATAAAATGTGGGAGGAAGGTGAATGAAGGCTGCTGGACCAGAAAACAGCTGGGGTGGAGGTGTCTGCAGAGCTCTGTAACAGGGATATGACAGTTTCTGTTCCAGTAGTAGGAGAGTTGGCCACCACTCCACTCAAGAAAGCCCTTAGATATCGAAGATGAAAGAACATGAGAAAATTTATTTCAGCTCATGGGCTGTTAGGACTGAGAGCTTTAGTGCTTGACTCCTACGGGGGAAAAAGTTATTCCTGTGATCTGTGTAAGGCAAAATTAGGTTTTCCAGTTATTCTGATCATAAATCAATATTTTACACATTTCAGAGAAACTCATACTGTAGATGCTTTCAAATTTTGTATCACATTGCCCTGGGCTCCTGCTCTTAGAATACAGGTTCCATACATTGGGGGTATTTTTGTGCTTTTAGGAGGTACAGAAAGTTGCAGGAATCCAAACACTTGGACTGTATTATTTGGAGTGGTGCTGGACTGTGCTCTTTAACTCTGTTTGGTACACTGCAAAATAATGAAGTTAAGTAGGAACTTTCACTCTATTTGATTGTACAGAGAGTTTCACTACTTCTCATTTCCACCCTGCAAATACTGTGCTCGCAGCTGTTGTTAAAGCAGGAAAAATATGAAGAGCATTGCTTGCTTCATACTTCTACATTGCAGTGTCTAATTAGCTTTAATCTTGCTATTTAACAAGGACTTGCAGATCTATGAGCAGTTATGCAATCCATGAATGTGCTTCTGTTTAACTCTACTCCTCTGCAGTTCATCAGAGCATGCAGAATTGGCAAATCAATAATTGCAGCTATTTGCACACCAAGAAATGCTTCTTTAAATTGCCTGTTATATTAGTGTTTGCTTTGCTTACAAACATGACGGGGCCAAGAACGCAGCCTGCACTCTTTGTGTTAGGATACTATAAAACCATACAGAAACTCAGTAACAGCCAAGGTTCCAGCGTGTACAGTAACAATAAATTGCTGTCAGGTGAAGAAAACAACATTCCAGATCCGCGGGAAGTATTTCATACTATTCTTCGCTGCAGAACTATCAAACCACCAGTCTGAGCCCATTTGGTTTGCTTTGCAGTCAGCTATTTTGCTCTCCAACTTCACAAATAGGTTATTACAGAATTTTTCTGCTCATGCAGACTAAAAGGAGATTGCATGCCCTTATCGAGGACTTTCTTGTGTTTAAAAGCTGTCTCTCTCTGCTCTGTGTTATTAACTGTGACTCTGAAAAAGTAAACTCTCTGCTCCTTAATAAGCACAACTTTGTTTCAAAGACAATGCACCATTTATTCACATTTAACCAGCCAATTTGGGAACAGCTTTGGGATCCAAGAAAATATGAAAGGCAATTTAGGGCCAGAGTCATAAATACCACAAGTTCAACACCATTTAGGGACTTTTTTTTTTTTTTTTCATTTTACTTGCAGTGCAGGAGAAATTGGCTTTTATTTCTTCAAATAAAGTCCATATAGGGAATTTGTCAAGTGTTTTGTGCTTAAGTGCGAATATCCTAAGGAAAATAGAAGGTGACTTTTACCTAGTTCTGCCTCTTAAATCTGAAACATGATTAAATTGATTCTTATGACTTGGGTTACTGAATTCTCTAGGCTGTGCCCATAAAGTTGGGCCAAAAGGAACATAAATACAATGAAATAAATCTCTAATAATATGCACAAAGAAGCAGTTGCTGAAAGGGTAGGGAATGAAATGGCATCAAAGGAGCCAGATCTGTTTAGAGCTTTCCCTGTTGTTGTTGCCCTGGGATATAGTTTTAGGCTAAAAGAACTGCTTTTTGGGCTGTATTGAAATAAACGCTTTGCATTCATCAGCACAACTCCTAATGGATATTGAGGGAGATCAGGATCACATTCATCTGCAGAACTATCAATCGTACCTTCTTGAAGCAGCAGACTTTGTGTTCCTTCCCAACAGTGAAGGGAACTATTGTCACTGCAACAAGTTCCTTTTCTTTGAAAGACTTTTAAGTATTTGTGCATTCAACTGACTGAGCACTGACTTCTGTGGGACTGTTACCTAGTGAATCAGCTGCAGGGATGTAGGAAATTTCTACTTACATTCAGGAGCTTGTTGGACAACAGTGTGGTGCCAGAATCAATCTCGTGTGGTGGGAGGAGTATCCAGCTTCATCTCAAGCATGGAGGAGACCCTGCCCCTTGGCACAGCCTTCGTAGGCACGGTCCCAACAACGGGGTCCTTGTCGGCGTGTGTGCCAACCCTGTTGGATTTATGGCTGATATTAAAAAAAAACCAACAAACCCAGAACGTCTCCTCCTAACATCCTAACTAACAGAGCCCTTGGGCCACAGAGCCAGCATCTTGTCCTGCACTGAAAGTGCCCTGGGAAGAACAGAGGGCTGTCCTGTAGGGGCTGGGTGGGGAACATGGCCATCGAAGGATTTCCAGGCAATATGTAACTTCCAGACCTGCCAGCACCTGCAGAGAAAGCACACCTGAGCACCCCAACCTGAGCCAGCTTGCAGCCTGCACATGGGGCAGATGATGTGATTCTCCAAGGGCACGTGGGTCCCAGCAGCTCTGGGGAAAGCCCCAGGCTTGTGTGGGGAGCAAAGCACCCTTCTGGCACTGCAGCAGGGCTTGCCTCAGGGGTTGGCGTTGGCAGCCTGGCATCCTGACCCACTTCTGAACCACTCCCACAGGGCTGGATCCTGCAGGAATTTCCCTGGCAGGGGTTGCTGGTGGTTTCAGTTCCATACCTGTGGCCTCTGCCTGGCAAGGGCTAACCCCATCTGCATCCGTCCCTGTCCCTCAGCTCCATCCAGTTCTGGACATGCACCCACTCCTCTTCCTCCTTGGTTCAATGCCAGCTGCAAAGGAGAGGAATGGCTCTGGGCCTCACCTGATCTGCAGACTGTGACAGATGTCCCTTCTGGGCAGATCAGGGAAGCGGGCATCAGGATCTCATCATCTGCTCTGAAAAATGCAGCTGTGATGGCAGACATCTAGGGTGATGTCTTCTAGCTGTTGAATTTCCATTGCGTCCCTGCGTAACCCTGTGGACAGTAAGCAAGGCAGCACACATTTCCCACTTGAAATAAAAGAGGGAGATAAGCAGGAAAGATGTAATTCTTTGAAATAATAAAGCCCTGCTTTCTACCTGAGGTTTGCATTTACTGTTATCACCTCCCAATATAATCTCATCCGGCTCTAGTATAAATTACTCGTAATGTGCAATATGTGTAGATATTGGGAAAATAAATGGTCTGTTAAACAAATATTGCTTATCTTCCAGAGCGGAGAATGTAGATGTGCATCAAATAACTCAGCCAGATCTTTCATTATAGCTGTAAATAACAGCTGAGTAAAGTGACATTTTCATGGACCTGACATGTTACCATAGTGGGAAAATGTGGTGAGAGATTTGCTTATGCCCTGGCTAACTTAGGAGCTGGGAATTTGGGAAGCTGTATCCTGTTTGTAGCCCTGACACTCGGAAAGCCGTTTCCCCTTACAGTCCCTAGAGATCCAATGCCACATCTTAGTGCCTTCCACATAATGACCGTAGCAAAAGGAGTCGGTCAGTTCTGGTTCTCCGTGCTCTCTGGGGAAACGCTTTGGAGGTTTATGTATTTCAAATCACATCATTTTCATTTCCTTTTTGTTGCTTTGCTGCCTGGAATTTGAAAGCTAAAGAACAGTCAGTGCTGTCGTTTAGCTGTAGGTTGAATTCTGTTCAGCAACCAATTTTATCTGTGTTTATCTATCTGCTACTTGCAGGAAGCAGAGTTTAGCTGCCCAGGCCGTTACATGCCTGAAAGGCATCAGAGGGAACAGGCAGAGGGAAAAATGCAGCCCAACAAGAAAGCACTTCAACTTTTTAATAATACTGTAACTCTTTGCTGGTTGAAACAAATTATGTGCTGGAAAGCAAATAAAAATAATAACATATTTACTGCTTGTACTGCATAGTCACCTTGGATCTGTTTTGAGGGCATAACGTGTACACATGGGGGTCACTGTTTGATTTCTCCAGTACCCTTCCTTTCCTCTCCTCAACCTTCCTGGACTACCGGGCTACCTCCTGTCCCTGCATGTCCCTGCACAACCTGACAGGGTTGTGGTGGCTTTTGCAGAGCTGTGTCTGGTGAGTACCAGCACAGCTCCAGTTACTGGGGACAGATGAATCAGGTCTCCAGTGCAGTGTTCCAGGACAGCAGCCCTTGGATAGACACACCTCGGCTGTGCATCCCTGGTGGACAGCCTGGTCTAAAGTGATGTGGGCTTCTCCTCCTCACCATCAGTGACCTCCAGTAGTGGCAGCAAGCTCTGCTCCCTGCCAGCCCATCTGTGGTGCTGGGCAATACAGAAACCCACCTTATTTGTGAAGTGTCTGGAGATCGCTGAGTGATTGCTACAAACGAGCCAGGGATCATCATTTTTGCAAGGGAGCTCAGCAGTCCAGTGCTCCTCTTCTTTCAACCATTCCTATGCAGAAGAAGAAAGAATTGAGTCAATATTTTTTTGACAGGCAGAACATTTTTGGTTTGTTTTTGCCTTAAAACAGGTTGGAGGGAACTGGTGTCGAAGTCTTGCCAAAAAGCCAGCTTTTGACACGTGCCAAGCATATAAAATTTCAGCCCCAAAGACAAATCTTCTGGAAAGCTCATGTCCCCTGTTCCTTGCTTTCCAACTCCAGGTGAGGTGCAGGAGCCGACATTTCAGAACATCACTGGAGGGGAAACAAAATGTCACCTGAAGTGCCTTTCAGTCCCTGCTGCGTAAAACCTGTGCTTACTGTTTAGTGACCCCTTCATGCTGTGCAAGCAAATCAGTTGCTGTTTGTTGAGCACCCTGCAGCGTCCTACAGATGATCTCTATTTTTAGGCCATGCCTTGTAAGTTATTTACATCTTCCATGTGCAGACATCCAGGTCACTTCAAGGTTTCTGACCTGCAGCAGCTCACAGTACTACTCATGGAAGATAAGTGTGAGTCTGTAATGGTATTGACGGGCAGTAGAAGTTCAGGCTTTGGTTTGCCAACGTCCACAGTGTGCCAGCTAAGCCACAGCAAGGACCTCGCCTCCTGCATCCTGGGGATGTTTAGAGCACACTTAGTGTCAGCATTTGTTAGCGAGAAGTGTGAAGACTTGTTTGCCTGGGAGCACTGAAAGGGCTTCTTTGGAAATGCTTCTTTAGAGGAGGGATGCAAATCCCCAGCCTGGCTTCCTTTGCCAGTTCAAGCACTTTGCACCTCTCTGCAGGTGAGCCCCCAAAGGGCAGCCTGCCTGCTGCTCACAAAGCCCATGAGTGCATGTCCACACGGTGTTTGACTCCTGCACCCCAGTGAACCTCTCCTCGTGTACAAGATGTCTTTAGAAAGAGCTCTGGCCATGTCCAGACTGTTGAAACCTGGATATCTGCACCCTTGTGAATTGAGGCTTGCCTGATGTAAACAATTCACATTTCAGAAGCAAAGAGCTTTATTTACAACCAGAAAGGCTCCCCTTGCCCTCCCCTGTGTTGAAAGCAATCCAGGAGTGAACTTTGCCTTTTGGGCAGTGTTTGGTAGAAAGGGTAAACATATATATATGTATCTACATTTTTTTGCCTTAGCCTGAGGTGGAAAGTCCAAGCCACTAGAGAAAACCAGACCTCACCTGGTGGGAGCTGATGCTTTTGAGTGAACCCAGCAGGGCTTTGCCAGTTAACACCAGCTTGGGGCACACTCTGCTGAGCATTTGGGGACCTCCACAGTGTACAGGGCAGGACACAGGCTGCAGAGCTCTCCCAGTGCTCCCAGTAGAACCAGGTCACAGCTCCAGTGTTGTCTCTTGTGCCACCCAACCCCTGCTGGGGAAGGCCTGGGATGAGCAAGCCAATACAAGAGCTGTATCCTCAGCTACTGTCAGTGGATTCTGTGAGTCCTGAGATGATCTTGCTGACTTACACGGGTGAAATGTGGCTGTGATTGTAGCACATATGGCCTCTGCATGGCGGAAAGTAGAAAACTCCATGAGCTTTTCAGCCATCTAGAGACCCTGCACAGAGGCTGCCAGGCATCTCCTTTAAAGAAAACCCGTGTCCCTGTGTGTCATAAATATCTGCTGACAGAGAAGTAGTGGCAGGGACTGAAATGTGCAATGACATTTTTCCAGGAAGGCAGGATTAGGCTTAATTAGCTGCTGGGCTTAGTCCAGGCACCAGACACAGGATCTCTGTATGTGGGAACTGATGTTTAGGAGCACTTTCAGTATAGAGAACTGGGATTACTCATTTTTGTGGTGGGCAGAGGAGCTTAGGCTGGACTGTGACAATTTGTCATAGTAGTAACTTCAGGGTGCAGTTAGTCTTAAAAATCCAGGTTTTGGTGTCATGAATTGGAGCAGCTCCATTCATTATAAACTCCTGGCTTGAAACTGGTTTCCTGCATTGCTGAGGCCACAAGGTGCCTCAGTGTCTCACCCCACCCTCAGCTGTGCATGGTTAACTAGAATATCCCTTGGAGCAGGAGAGCCATTTTTGGCACAGAGATTTCAGCAATAGCAAGTCTCCCGCTTCCTTTGCTGGATCAGTTTAAGATAGATATATATATATATATACACACACACACATATAATGTGTACATATACACACACACATATATATATACATATAAATATAAATACACATCTCACTTAAGTAGACCTATATTCTTTAAATCAGCAGACTTAAGCCCTGTGTCTGTTTTAGGTCAGACGTGGAGCACTTCTCCATGCTGGTGCACTTGGAGTGTTTGTAAACTTGTTAATTCATAATAGTAAAGGTAATACCAGGGCTAAAGAAAACCCCCAAACAATTGCAATTCCTATAAGAAACAAGAAAGGAAGAAGAAAAATAAGGGCTGAATTTCAACAAACAGATACTACAGCATGGAGTGCCAGAGATCTGGGCAGAGTCACATACCTGGGAGGTGTTGGTAGGTGAGGGCAGTCCGCAGTGTCACATCAGCCTGCTCAGCTGCCAGCCACAGCACGTTGGGAACCTCATCTGCTGTGCTCCAACACTTGCTGTGCTCTCCTCCCTGCAGATGCCTTACCTGCTCCTGAACCCGTCCATGCCAGAGATAAGGCCTCGAATGCACCCTGTGTTTTTTGGAGAAAGCATTGAGGTCAGCCCCGAGCCCGTGCAGGAAATCAGGTACAGATGGGATTGGGTGGGTAGGTGGGGATTTCTGTGTTTTTCCTGGTGCTTTTCCTTCTGCCAAAATTAAAATGTGTTTACAAATGGGAGTCATGGTTATTTTGATGGGAAGGGAGGGACAGGTTTGTAAGAGTAAAGCCTGAATGAAAGACAGTAACAGCAGCAGAGGTGGAGGGGAGGAGGCAAGAACTGGAGGGAGGTTTTAACAGAAGGCAGCTTTCCTTCCAAGGCCAGTTCACATCTAGGGCTGTGAGACAAAACCATTAACATCTGTGGGCTTGATAGCTCCACTAACTAATCTGATGGTCTTCATACTGTTCCCAGATGACTTGTATCTTGAGAAGAAGCAACACCCTTATAATTGGCACCTGTTTTTGTTAGCCCTTGCAGCAGAGAAAGGAACATTAGACCAGCCCATAGAGACTGAATGAGCTCCTCCTAGTGAGGAGATGGTCCCTCAAGGCGGTGATGGAGATGTTTTGCCCTCCTGTGGGGCTGGTGGATAAACGTTGGTCTCTGCTCTTCTTTTCCTCTTTTGCTGGTGTGGAATGTACTCCGAAAACAGCCTGGAGCAGTTACACACAGCTTGGGGCAGGGACAGTGGGAGGACTGTAAAGCAAATTCCCACCTCCCTCAACCTATGCAACGTCTCTCTGGAAACGTACCCCAGTAAATCTCTGCTGGCTGAGGAACTGCCAGCGGGCATGTTTTTATGGTGATTACATCTGAGTCGTGTTTTATGTGTGCTGAATGACTTGCTTACACCCTGGCTGTGCAAAATACATTACAGCAGCTCAGATTACACTCGGTGCACAATCAGTCAGCCCCCCTCCGGGTGGAGGTAATGACGAGCACACACCCAGCTTTTAATCTTTTTTACGTGGAGCTGCACATTCCTTGGCTGCTGATTGCTAGAGGAGCGTTTGGGGAGCAGGGAAAACCAGTGAAAGTCCTGCTGTTCCTCGTGGCTAGGAATTCTAGGGAAAGCCCTTTACGTGGCCCGCTGTCCCTACGTCCCTTGTGGATGCCTGCAGAAAACAGGCAGGGCAGGGACATCCCAGCTTTTGTGGGTTCTTCCTGTGGCTATTCAGGTGGTCACTTTGAGACCAGTGGCATGGGTATTGGGCAGCCACAGCCTGCATTTATGCTGTTGCTTTACCTACCCTTTCACCATTGCTTGGATTTTCTGTAGGCTCCAGCAAGCAACCTCACCCCTCATCTCACAGCAGGCTGATTTTAGCTAGCTTGGGCATCTTTGTGCTCTGATGGTGAGGCACTATAAAGAAAAAAGACAAACATGCAGCCTTGACAGCTCAACAAGTCCATTACAGGGTGTTTGCCTCCAGTGTAGCTCTCAGGGCTGACCTGAGGTCCCAGTGGAACCTGTGGAGGAAACCAGAGGAAGAAGTGGGTGGCTTGGAGCCTGTGCACCAAGGTGTTTTCTGCCCTGGCAGGACCGTGGTCCCCTGTGCGCATGCACTGCAGAAATGCTGAGATGGATTCACAGCAAGGTGTGGTTCCACCAAGGTTCACCAGAAGGACAGAGTCCTCTTTTGTCCCTTGCTTTGGGTTGTAGAGTTGGCATCAGCCCCAGTGTCTGTGCAGTAAGAGATCATAAACATTGCCAACTTCAAAGGGTTAGAGAAGAGCCCTGCCTGTCTTACCTCCTTTGCTGCGTGGGCTGTGTTCCTGATACCTTGCTGTCCTCCGTAGGTGCAATTCCGAGGTGAAGTACGACTCCGAGAAGCATTACCGGGACGACATTTTCTACGGCCCCATCCCCACCGTCACCACCTACAGCGAGACGATCATCGCTGCTCCCAACTGCACCTGGCGGAACTACAAGTCCCAGCTGATCTTCGAGCCCCGCCAGAAGCCGCTGAGGTTTCAGAGCACGACCATCATCTTCCCCAAGCGCGCCAAGAACATTTACCGGACCACCCTCAACTACAGCTTGGGTTGTGCCAAGCGTTGGTTCGCTTCCAGCGTGCAGCTGGAGCTCTGCGAGGAAAGCAGCCCGTGCGCCGTCTACAGCGAGACCCTCTGACCCGCCCCGGCAACCGCGCGACCGCTGGGAGGCCGCAGCCCTCGCTGGGTCCCTGGCTGGGCCTTCGTGGATGGCGACGGAACATCAGTGCCTGGGGAACACCTCGTCGTGGGTGAGGCTGAACTGGCTGGGGGGAGGAGGCTTGCAGGGCACAGGATGGTTTCGATCAGTGAGAGGGGCTGGCTGGTATTTTGCGACATTCCTGACGTTCGCGATCTGGATTTCGGTGTTTTTTTGGTTTTCGTTTTGTTTTGTTTTTTTTTTCCCGAGCATATCTATTTTTGACTTGTGTTTAGATGAAATCAAGATGACCAAGGACCCTGTTACCCGTAGCAGGGCCCAGTGAGCTCTGTAGGTCTCGTCTAGCACATAGATGAGAGTCACTGTAACATTCTGAGCTATTTTGATCTCTGCAAAGGGAAGACCAACTGCGGAGTCAGCGTCTGGTGAGCCCGGCATACACCAGGCCAGGTCTCAGAGCTGGAGTGCAGAGGAGGCTGTTATTAATACACCACAGCTTGCTCCAGCAGCTCATCCGAGAGGGAGCTGCAGTGTTACACCACTGCAGTCACCTCAGCCCTAACTTCCTGGGAGGAGTGGGCACTGTCACCCCAAGAAAAAGGAGAAAAACAGGCGCCCGGTGCTCTTGTGGGCAGCTTGGAGGTTTGTGTGCCATGGCAAGGCACAGCACAGCCAGGGGCGGGAGAAAGGCCTGCCCTGACCCAGCCACGTCTTCTGTGAGCTCAGTCAAGAGTAAGCAGCAGAAATCGAGGGAGCTGAATAGCTGAAGGGCTGGTTTCTAAAACTGAGCAAGTGATTTGGGAGCCCTTTTTCAGAAGTTTTGTCAGACCAAGTGTGCTGTGCTGTTCACTGCCTCAACACCCAGTTTACAGGGATCTTTAAGCACTTGCAACCCTTCTGAGTTTTGGGGAATGGCACTATTGCAGGGAAGAGCATAGGGCAGGAAGATGCTCTCTGGCTTCCAAGAAGCCCAGGGCAGGGTTAACTCACCCTCTCCGTAGTTTCCATACTTGTGGCATAGACAGCTTTGCTGACTGTGGAAGAGCAGCCAAACTTTCTGTGTAGAGCTTGAAGAGCCCAAATCAGTCCAGGTTTTTCTAAATCATCCAGGCTGTAGCAATTCAATAGGTAGTTCACAAACAGCTGAGCTGTCTCTGCAAAAAGGACCAAGAGGCACTGAGTGAGCAGGAGTCAGTACAGCCATCCTGAGGTAAACCATTCCCCACTCACGAATCCCATTTCCTGGTATCCCTTCACTTTGCTAGCTTGCTGAAAATCTGCGAGAGCCTGGATTCCCACAAACATATAACTTTCGAAAATAGCACGGAATTGTCTCCAAAAATCCTACCAAGAATTCTTGCATGCTGCTCAGACTTAGAAAATAACCACACAGCTCCGGAAATTAATTTCCAGCTTTCCCTCTTCTAAACTTTCCATTTTGTTCCTGACTTGCTGTGAGCCTGATGGAGTTATTTCAGAACACAGCTGAGCAGCCAAGTCAGAAAGCCTATTAACAATGTCAACAAGACGTAGCTGATTGCCCAGAACAGTTGACGCACAAACCCACAGAGATTAAAATTAAAAAAAAGTCTGAAAAACTTGAAAAAATAATAAAAGTAAATAGTGACTTATAAAGATACTCTTTCCATAAGCTTCAAAAAGCAACTGGTAAATGTGACCAGAACTGTGACCTTTATGAAACAGAGTTCTCTTGTTTAAAGTGAAGCACAGTTTTTCCACCAGAGGTAAATATAAAGTCTTTATATGCAAACTTAAATCCTGACAGCTGAAGCATCATTAGTACTGAAGGATGTGTGTTATGGCAGTGATGAACTCTTCTTCTCTAGCTGGGAGTTAGCACTTGGTAGGGAGAAACCTCTCAAAGGATTTCCAAGGCTTCCACCTACTGTTGAATTCTTTACAGCAACACAAACAAGGATTATATTTGTTATTGGTCAGGCTTTGCTGTCACTGACTGTCAGCATCAAAGCCTGGAAAAGCAACATCTGCCTCTGAAGGGATTATTATGCCTGAAGCAACCCTTCTCCCCAAGGCACCAGCAAACGTGGAGCTGGCTTAGGCAGCAGGGAGGTGATGTGAGGATGAACGTGGTCCCAGTCCCAGAGCAGTTAAGTTGGTGATGCACTTACTTGCTAGTTCATCTTGAGGTCTGTCCTGTTCTCCAAGTGTTGCTGAACAATCCTTGGGACCGGGGGAAATACCCACCTGCCCTCCTGGACACACAAGAAGGCTCTGGAGGGCTCATTCCACGCATCCAAGAGAGTCTGTACAAAGAGGTGCAGATTTCCAAGTTGAGCAACACTGTAATCCAGGTTCAAAAGCAGGGCCAGCACTCACACCCAGGAGATCCCTGCATGATGACAGATTAGATTGGAGGCACCTCCACGGAGCAAGCATGGAGACAGGGTGGCCTCAGAGCCAAAGGGATGCCAGAGACTCCCTGTTCTGACTGTACATCAGGCCTTGCTCCTGTTAACAGTTGGATTATTCCCTTGCTTCAAGCACAGTGCTGCAGTTTTTGATCACACTGGTCTTTGAGCAGGATAGGCTTTCCCCAGAAAAAAGTCTCTTTTATCATGACTGGCTGCAGGCCTCTGCCAGCCTTCTCCACTGCTAGTTCTGCTTCCTAAATATTGGCCGCAACAGTAAAAGAAGAATTCAAGGAAAGCCAAAAAACTAGTGTGCAAATATAAATCCAGCAGAGAGACCTGAACCTCAGCCTGGACTTGCACCACACAAGGGACAGGGGCTGCTGAGGCAAAGTCTCACAGGTGGATGTGACCCCCAGGAGGGTGCAGTGGAAAGCTGCATCCTTGGCACTGGAGGGTCCCACACGCCCAGGCCAGGCCTCTTTGAAGCTTCACGCTTTGTTTTCTCTGCAAACAGACTAGAAATGACCTAACGTGCTCCTGCTCCTTTTGAGTTTAAGCAGCTTTTGTGGTCTTGCCATGTTAGGGGAAAAAAAGAGGCAGAGAGCAGGGTGGGTTTCTAGGCTGCTGAACACATTTTGAGCTGTGTGGCCACAGTGGCTCTGGTGGGGCTACAACCCTGGACCACGTCCAAACTGGGGCATTGCCTGAGATCTGTAGAAATTTTTGAAAAATACCTTCTTACGTGGTGTCTCCTGCGGGCCCATCACAAGCTGCTTTTCTTCTCAGCAAAAGCTGGCGCTGGAAATGGGACTTTGTTTTTCCTGAGGACAAGGAAACCACAGAGGGTCAAATCTTCACCTTTGCCTGGGCGCAGATCCCACCCTGTCCCTGCTGCTCCCATCCCTGTGACTGGGTTAGGCAGTGGTGGAAGAGCCAAAGTTTGTCTTACCATGACTGGGAAAAGTGAGGACTTCTTCTTGTTTTGCTTGAACACCAGAAACTGTATTTTGTGTGCGTGTGTTGCCAACGAAGAATCGCTTCAAGCAGCCAAGAAGTGCCTTGTGCCATACCTGTAGTATGTTTGTACATCTAAAAAGGAATGATTAGTCCCACTAGGGAGATGCTTTTCTTTTAAATGGAGCATTATTAATCTCAACCAACAGTTGGTCTTTATTCCTGTATATTTTCTCAAAGATACAAGTGATAAATTCAGACCATGGAAAGGTGAGTTTCCTTGAGCAGCTGGGACCGTGACTGCACAGCTTCCCCGTGGGATCCTGATGTACATGCTGCCCACAGTCCTGTAAGCCTGATGAGTGAAGTTAAACTCTGCCTTTTGGAATTATTGTCCATCAAGAGTTATTTTTGAGATCAAAAACTTTCACAGAAGGCATCTTTGTTGGTTTTTTTTTTTTTTTTTGGTGGGGGGAGGTGGGGAGGTAAGATTGATTTTTTTCAATATGGAAACTCTCTGTCTCAAAGGTGTGGGGTTTCCCCTTCACCCCTTTCATTCCTCTGATTCTTTTGCCCCTGAATACAACAGAACATGCTGGTGTCTGGTCTGCCTGCATTGCTGTCATTACATTTGGGGCCAAAAAGAGGAAACCCTAACTAAATACTGAACTTTCAAAAGCTGTGGAATACTTTGCACAAACCACAGAGAACAACTTTGACCAAAACAGTTTACTGCTTATGTTTATTTTTTGCCTTTTCTTTTTTTTTTTTTCTTCCTAAACCAACTCTACTTTTCTCAATGTGAAATACAGACAGATTTGCACCCTCGGTGCAACGTTCCTGGGAATGATGTAATGGGGTTTGGGTGTTGATAGCAGTGTTTGAGTGAGCTGCTGGTCAGAGAAGTGAATGCTATTTACTATTTATGTTGAGTGTGTCTTAAAAAACAGGAAAGGTCACAGAAGGCTAATGAGCTTTGTAAAGCAACCTGAAGACTAAAGACTGTGTGAGTCTGGTCTAGAGGTGAATGGTTCTATGTGTGGACACTGTGAGATAGGATATTTAGCCATTGTAGTTTTCACCTGCCTTTTTTTCCTGTAGGAAAAGGCATTCCTTGCCTTCTTTAGAGCTGAAACAAAATCAGATCCATCCTCTGTCACAGTCATTCAGTCCCCCTGAAGTCTGGGAACATCTCCCCTAAAGCTTTCCTATAACCATTGGATTTTTTTAAGTCTTGGGAGGCACTAATTCTTTTTCAGATACTGTGATGGTCATCAAAATGAGCAAAGTATCCTACCATGTGAGTCGTGACCTGAGGGTGGGGTTGAAAGGTGTCTGAAGGTTAGAGAAGGAGAACATATAAGTGGTGGAAATGCATAAGGATGTGTCATATTTTTATTTTTGTAAGTCTGATTCTCTAAGTGCTTGTGAAGTACTTTACTGTTGTATATGTGGTGATGCAGTAGTTCACAATATCCTTTTATTTTTGTATATTCCCCCCTTCCACCATAATCCCTTTCTGTTCAACTCATAGAGAGTAATTTAAGAAGACAAAATTTATATATCGTAATAAAATGCTCAAACCATCATGCTGATGTACCCGGAGTTTCCTTCCTCTTCCTTATCCCTTTACTTGGTACCTAATGCCCCTTTCCCACCCAGAGGGCAGATTTTTGGTGTGTTCCTCCCTTTCTGGGGGTTTCAGCCCAGCTCCCCGTGGATGGGTGGCTGTGGCAGAGTCAGCCAGTGCTGTGATGTGTAAAACCTGCTCTGCCACACGTGCCCACGGAAAAGTGAAAAGCAGAGGCAGTTCTACCCTTCCAGATCTCCCTGGCTGTCAGTTTTACCATTTCTTCACTCTAAATTTCCCTCTTCCTCTTCCATCTTGTTCTACCCAGCTATGAAGCCTTGGTGTGTCTGATCTAGACAATTCCTCTCCCAGCTTTTCCATGGCCTTCAAGGCAAGGAAGAACCAACACAATGCTTATCTCATGTCCAGGTATCCACAACCTAGTACAGTATTGGGACCCCTGCTATGTCCTGGCTTTCCAAATCATGACAGTGGATAGGCTGGATTGGGGCTAAAACCCTGCCTAACCATAAAGTACATTTTAAACCCACTGCTGTAAATGCCTCAGGCTCACCAGCCAGCTATTAGGAGAATGCTCTGCTGTCTTCCAAGACCCAAGATGTCTGCAGGGAGAATCTGACACTAATCCTTATGGAAAAATGATATTGGATTTATAGGGATGAAGTCAATAGGCTTGGATGAAAGTGGCTGTTAAACTCTGAGGAATGGAAAGGAGAAGCAAAGCCATGTTATGCAAGAGGCTTCAGCTGCAAGGGAAGTGCCCGTGTCCACATCCCAAGGTTTTTGACACAAATCATGTCTGAACTGCTCTGGGATGAAGGATGTGAGACACGCTCATGCCTAAGAACCTGAGGAAACATGAGGAGGTGAAGAAGGCAGGGGATGTGCAGGCTGGGCGAGTTCACTGGCTGATACCCAAATGCCAAATGAAGGACATGTGCATCCACTCCTGCTATTTAAATAAAACCATAAAATGTGAATGCTGTCCAATGAAGATTCCTGAGGTGGCAGCTAAATCCTCAGCAGCAAAAGCAGTATTAGATGCAGGATATGTGTTTTGGCAAGTGTGCTCAGATGAGCTAACCCCTAAGCTAGTGGCTTTTACTGTGTGCTATTTGGATGTTGTAAATTTAAGCAGATGATGCTTGGTATTAGTTTTGCTCCTGGGATATTTCAGAGAGTAATTGCACATATCTCTGAGGGATTACAAGGTGCTGAAGTTATAATAGATGGACTTTGAATTTAAAGTAGATGCCTTTATGAACAGAAGGAAAGGTTTAGGCTGGTTTTACAGACAGCAAGAATGCTGAGTGTAAAATGCCAAAAGCCTCACCTAAAAGAATTTGCTGATAATGGGCAGCTACAAATTAAATAATAATAAAAACCCACATGCTGGGATTCTTATTCCACTCAACAAAGCAGAGCTGTAAGGAAACAATAGATGCCTTCATCAAATTTCATTCCACAGCTATTTACAGTCAACAAATAATGGAAGGACTTGCCAGAGAAAAAGCCTTACCTGATACTGGAGCAGTAAAAACGTCCCCCTGCTGCCAAACCATCAGCTTGAGGTTACCACATTCAAGACCTTGGGCTTGGTGTCTGGTCTGCATCAGCAGATGGCAATGTCACAGCCTGGACCTGCAGAAGTCTCTTTGGAAGATCTAGGCAATGCCAAGCAGCAGGAGGTTGTGTTGTACTCAGAAGTGTCATGAATCTGTTCCAATGCAAAGGAATCACCAGCAGCATTCCTGGACTGATGTGTATCATGGCCATCTACTCAAACTGTCTCCTCTGGCACAGGATGCTGAACTGTCACTTAATCCATTTCTGTGG